TTGGATTCAATGAGTAACGAATTGCAAGAACGTGCTAAAGGATTTCGTGAAGTGAATGATGTGTTTGGTTTTTGATGCCAGAGAAATTAGTCAATCTAGAAGAAACCGAATTAGGAACCAGCGTCACATTTGATAAAAAAAATATTCGGAATTTTTACGAGCAAGTATTTTTCAGAAAATCGTAATTTTACTAATGTCAGCCCCGCTAGATTATTTGAAGTTCATGAATGCAAACAATTTTATAGACAGTTTTCCAGAGACCTGCAGTTTATTCAGATTATTTTTGACTCTGCCTATCGATTCAGCTAGTGCTGAACGTGTCATGAGCTCTTTGAAAATTATTAAAGAATATCGTCGAGCTTCTTTGGCTGAAGACACACTCAACAACTTCTCTATCCTCTATATCGAAAGATCAGTAGCTAATACACTCAATTTGGATTCTGCGATGGAAGTTTTTGCTGAACGAAAAACAAGCAGATTCAAATTAGAATAATTCTGTTATTTTGTATTGAATAAAAAATGTTTGATCTCACAGCCTCTACTTGATTCAGGTTATATAGACATATAGTAAAAAAACAGAGGTAACAGTGCGCAGCAGCTACTATTGGGTATACAGGGTGACTTGTAATGTCACGTATTCCTGTTAAGGGGTGACAGATTAGGTCAAAAGCAACCGATTTTGTCCTATAATGTCCTATCCAGAAGTTAACCGTTTTTGAGTTATTTGAATTTTATTTTTATTCCGATTTCAGACGGTTAAATTTGAAATACAAAAAAACGGCATGCTTGATTTTGAGTTTTTTGTTATCGTCGCATAGCAGACATTCCAATAGTTTATAATAAGTAATAAAATGTTGAAAAGCTACAAACGTTTTAAAATTACGCTTTTTAAACGTATCATTTCCTTTGTTTTTTACTAACTTATTCGATAAAAAATGCAATTTTCTGTAAAAAATCTAGTAATGAAATGTGCAAATTATGTAAATAATATCTCTATCTAACGAGCTTTCATTTGAGGTATAAAAGTTACAACTAACTCAAGCACAAAGACATAAAATTAAAAAAGATGAGTAAAGTTGTACGAACGATAATTACGTAGGATAAATAAAGGGCTTTTATTTTAATTACAGTTTTATTTAATTACATTTCCTTTAGTATTTTACAGATTCTGCTCAAATTGTAATCCCCTGTTACGAATACAGGCCCGCATTCTCTTACGGAATTCACTTTTGGTAACTCTAGTTGTTAAGCGGCTTTTTATTTGGTCAGCTGCACTGATTATCCTTGTAATTAATTCATCGCGCGTTGGTACGGGCAAAACATCGTAGACCAGGCTTTTCATATGTCCCCACACATAGTAATCCAAAGGTGTGAGATCTGGGCTTCTTTCTGGCCAGGCAATGGGCCCGCCTCTGCCAATCCATTGATTTGGAAATTTAGAGTCTAAATACGCCCGTACTAATCTACTGTAGTGTGCGGGACAGCCGTCGTGCTGGAACCGCATATTTTGTCTCGTCTTCCATTAATGGAAACAACTGATTTTTCAAGAACTCTTCATACACTTCTCCATTTAAATTGGCGGGCTGAAAATGAGGTCCAATTGAATATCCATCAATGATGCTCATCCACACATTGACTGAAAACCGGCTCTGAGACCCCGTCGGTCTTATTTTTCGGGGGTTTAAAGCTTCTTTATCAGCCCAGTAATGAGCATTATGGTAGTTAGTGATCCCGTCCTTATCAAACTTCGACTCATCGGTCCACAGAATTTTCTTAAAATAGTCTGGATCTTCTGTATCTGCATGTAACATGTACCTGTAGAGATCTAATCGTCTTGCAGGATCGCCCTCTTCAATCACATTCACAGGCGTGTAGTGATAAGGGTATAATCTTGCAGTATGCACAGTAAACCATACTTTGTATTGTGATATACCCAACTGAGCAGCTACAATGCGCGTAGACGTAGTAGGGTCTTCCTGAAACACACCAAGGATTTCCTCTTCATCTTCAGGAGGATAGACTCGGGGTCGACCAGCATCACTATGTTGCCTTTGAACACGTCCAGTTTGGCGGATGCGCCGACACACAGAGTCAAACACAGTAACATGAGGTGTTCGGCGATTCGGGAAACGTTGCCGATATTCACGGCGGGCAGCTGCAGAATCTCCGTTACAAAGTCCATAACAGAACATTATGTCTGCGTATTCTTCATTTGTAAAAGTTTGCCCGTGCTCGCTATGGCGAGATCCTGGCGGATCTTCTGCGTCTGCCATGATGATGAAGAAACCACTCGAAATGAACTGGGAAACTCGAAAATAATAATCGTGCGTAAAACGTGTGCAGTAGTTGATACCAACTAAACCTAATTCTCACTCGGCGTGCGGCGATGGCGTAACTACAATGATGAATAATAACAGCTCTCTCTCTCTCTCTCTCAGTCCTCCACTAAGTCTGCACTTCTCGCTCGCTTCCTCGTCGAGCCGATGCCATAAAACAATCATGGCATGCGAGTCCTTTGAGGACAGTAACGACTTGTTCAAACAGGTAATACAAATTCCTTAAAAATCCAGCCTCTGTGGGTGTCATTGTTGTTTCTCTGCATGTACTTCAGATAATTGAACGCTTAATACCTCAAATGAAAGCTTGTTAGATAGAGATATTATTTACATAATTTGCACATTTCATTACTAGGAGATTTTTTACAGAAAATTGCATTTTTTATCGAATAAGTTAGTAAAAAAAAGAAAATGATACATTTAAAAAGCGTAATTTTAAAACGTTTGTAGCTTTTCAACATTTTATTACTTATTATGAACTATTGGAATGTCTGCTATGCGACGATAACAAAAAACTCAAAATCAAGCATGCAGTTTTTTTGTATTTCAATTTTAATCATCTGAAATCGGCATAAAAAATAAAAAACTTAAAATTCAAATAACTAAAAAATGGTTAACTTTTGGATAAGACACGATAGGACAAGATCGGTTGCTTTTGACCTAATCTATCACCCCTTAACAGGAATACGTGACATTACAAGTCACCCTGTATAATTGTAAGCCCCTGTTAATATGCGACATCATTATTGCCAGCAAAATCTGTAGTTCGAACTTTATCTAAACAATTTAGATGGATTTTACGTTATCGAAAATTTTTAGATCCGCGTGAATATCAGTTGAATTAGCTGTTTTATTGGCACGTTGCTGCATCAGATTAACTTTTTGCATCAAATTATTATTAAAAAACCTTTTGCACTATCCATGAGCTTGTTTCGGTTACTTCTGCAGGTCTTTCTAATTTTTTTATTCTCAGTTGCCGTCATTAATTTGCAAATAGCGATAAATGTGGAGAATAAGACTTTCGCAAATACGGCCCAGTATATATCCTGTAGTAATGCACGTTATTCAACGTATTTTAGTGTTGTTCACCAAGTTTGTATTCAATGAAATATTAATCACGGTAAAAATGACAACAACTATCGATCATATTTGTTTTTTTCTTGAAGTTTGCTAGTGAATCATCAAGTTTAATTTACTTCAAAAAATTACGATGCGCATTACAACCAGGCTGATGTACGATTGCACTAACGTGACATTACGCATTAAATTTTGATATTAATTTCTGAGTTATCATGCAAATTTCAAAGTTTCCATTGCCGCATTTTATTTGTCAATAATTGCAGTAATTCATGTTATTCGCAAAACGGTTATAGTGCGCACTATTTGCCGTCTGTCCCCGATCATACCACTGGGCCCCCCCAGTGCATATTGCCGACCGGGCCCTTTTCCCTAAATCCGCCACTGGTCCGTCAAAAAGTATTTTTTATTAAATTTGCTGACAGCTTAAGCGCGCGCGAAGTTTTTCCTAGATCAAGCTGACCGCATAGGCAACCAGTCTTGCGCTATAATCTATGAGCTTACAGTTAAATCAAAGTTGACGGATGCAGTGCTGCCAGTGTACAGATTTATCTAAGAGATTTGGAACTTTAAAAATTGGAAGTCGAACTAAATTCGCATGGGGGGCTCATGACCCCCATGACCCCCCTCCCCTGGATCCACGCCTGGAGGTGTCCTGAAAATTAGGCCTTCCCTTTTCAGAAACAAGTACGGTAAAAATTATGACCTTGGTGTTGCTAGCTCGACCATAAAGGCGCAATTCCACTGAGGCAACAATGAACGACTTGTGGCAAGCTACTTTTTTCCTCTTGTTGACGTTCGACAGAGTTGTCCAAATTCTATTAATGCCGCATGTGGATTTTATTCCCCTATGTGGCATGCGCTTTGTCGTACATGAGTGTAGCATGCGTTTTCACGATTCAATTCAAGCAACTTCAGTTTAGTACGTCATGTCATTATAGACAGTCGCGGCGGCTGCTTATTTAGTAATATTTCGGATATCTGAACCAAACCAAACCAATGCCGAACAGTTGTATTTTCCTATTTAAAGAAATCAACCGTTAATAAATAAGCCAACTATGGAAAGAAAATACGAAGATGTTTCCTTCTTGTCCCCCTGAAACCGTAACCAACCGCAGCCAGTACTGTTTCGGGCTCATTAGCCCTCGTCAGTGCGGTATAGGTCTGCTTGTCTACTACTGGTAAGTCAAGGCGAGGGATGGACAAGAAGCAAACAATCGTATACGTCTAAAAGACTGAAGGTACTGTACGCTAGCAAGCGGCCGTAGCCACCAACTATTTTTGCCTCCTGTAATTTAGTCGTGCATCTTTATATATTTCCGATTTGTTATTCCATAATTCATCCGAATTGAAGATAATGTTTCTTCATTGGTCCACTCCATTTTGTCGCCTGCTACAAGCCGCACCGATCCGAACGTGTTTGGATAGCCAGCGACACTGAGCGGCAACAACGGGCAAATTGTGGCATGCGGCAAGGAGACATTTTTTTGTCGCTTCTTGTTGCCTCAATGCCGTATGCTACATGTTGCCCAAAAGTTGCCTCAGTGGAATTGCGCCTTAAGAGCGATGACACACACAGCGGTTTGTGCCGACTCGGCGGACAAATCGACTGCTGAGTCAGGACATATTTATCTTTGTTTTCAAATGCTGCGAAAAATACGCGCCTCGCCGCTGCAGTGCCGACACACACATCGTTTTTTCACAAGCTCAAGCGCATTACAATTACCAAAATGTTTTCGAGAGGAGCATTGCATTTCGTAGAAAAGAAACTCGATGTAGATAAAATGATGAGTGAAATAAAGAAACATCCAATATTATGGAACATTAATACAGAAGATTATAGAGATCAAATGAAAACAAATCCGTGCTGGGAAGAAATTATCAAGGCTTTTAGTTCTGAAGAGGAACTGAGTTTGCAGGATAGGAAAAAAATACGTGAGTAGCATTGTCTATTATAGCATACTTACATATTTACTATCTAATTTGAAATGTAGTGTAATTGAGTACATATTATTTATTTGAAAAGTTCTCTGTACTAAGTGCTCTTGCATTTCCTCTAGTGCGCTTTAGAGGTTGTAAACCTTCCATACTATGGCTTTGTGGGATATTCATGTTACTTAATGATTCTTCACGCGTTCCATCCCTTGTCCTTACAAAATTATGTAGTATGCAGGCAGCTTTGATAATGCTATTGGCAAAATCGATGTTAACATCTATAGGTCGATGAAATATTCGCCATTTGTTTGCTAATATCCCGAATGTACATTCAAAACGTTATGGTAGTCATTATTGAAATGGGTTTTGGGGAGGCTCAAAACAAGTTAAAAAAGACCCATGGTCTAAAAGTCAATAGATTTTTGTCTATGAATGAATGAATCTTGAAATTAGAGGCAATTCGGCCACCATAAGGAGCCAGCGCATAGGCCGCTTAAGCGGGCCCTTATGCACCTCTACAATCCTTAGATCACAAGCCTCGACCTTTTAGCGGAGTTGAGAATCATCTTGAGTCCAAGCTCCTTGACGTCCTGAGGGTCCAAAGTAATGGACCCCAGTATAGTCTGCTTATCGACCACAATCACCACAATCTTACTAATTTTTAAAATCTAATCTAAAACGTTTTCAAATTGGGTAATTAACAGATAAATGGCATTTAGTTTTTCTAAGTTAAGCCAAAATTTGTAGTCAGTAAGTAAGTTTCATTAAATTAAATATTTACAACGCACATGACAACAGCGCCTCGGCCTTTCATCACTCTTATCGAACCGGCAATCGATCGCAAACGGTAACAGTGGTTAGTTATCGGGCATCGGGCGTGTTGTTTTGATTTTGTTCGCGTACGTCGTCGTGTTTATTTACATTGTTCTCGAATCAAGGGTTCGCCGACATGTTAGTTTACGGTGCAGCTCGTCAGAATTCAAATCTTGCAGCTCAAATTTATCGCGACAGATTTCGCCAACGGGTACACCCAGACAGAATGACATTTGTGCAATTGTACCAAAGACTTCGAGATACAGGAAGTGTCCAGCCCACTAATATTCGTACTCGTGAAGGACAGGTTACTGTAGAGCAGGAGGAACTAATTTTAAATATCGTGGAAATCAATGCGGATATCAGCACTCCTACCATGTACAACGAGTGCAGGCCTGAAGACTATCCTCGCAGACTAACATTCTGTCAGTGGTTTCTGCACAAAAACATTGAAAATCCGGATTTTTTTAAAAACATTCAAGTGACGGACGAATGTAGGTACTTTTACGCGAGACGGGATATTAAATTTCCATAATACTCACCCGTAGGCCCAAGAAAATCCTCATACCATTCGTGAAGGTCATTTCCAACAACGTTTTAAAATAAATATTTGGGCGGGTATTCTTGACGATCAGGTAGTTGACCCTTTCGAGTTACCCCCAAAGTTGTCAGGAGAAGGATACCTTAGCTTTCTAGCCAATAACCTACCAGACCTTTTGGAACAGACCTTAGACCACATGTCATTACAACGGAGACAGAATTTGTGGTTTCTTCATGACAGGGCGCCACCACACATTTTTAGAGGCGTCATTCAGTATTTGAATGAACATTATCCAAATCGCTGGATCGGTCGAAGTGCTCCTGATCCTCGAAAATAGCCAGCAAGATCTCCTGACCTAAGTCCGATGGATTTCTGGTATTGGGGAGAACTTAAAGGGATGATTTATGGGGCTGGTCCAATAACAATTGAAGCACAACAAAAGAATTTTAATGCGGCTGAAATAATAAATGAACAACTTCGAGAACCTAGAGTAAGATGAAACTGGGTTCGTCGTAACGAAGTTTGTGTGGAAAGTGGAGGACGACATCTTGAACACCTTCTTCAAATAGAAAAAAAGTGCAGTGTGGGTTTTAAAATGTATCAAAATTGTGTTCCTTATTTATAAGTGGATTTTTTTCATACGTTCAATAGACTTTCACACAGCGCTAAGAAAGTTAGTGGTAAGTCCGTTTTTTTTAAATTGTTTGCATTTTACGAGTACATTATCAAATAATGAAATAATACCTAAGAGCCAAAAGTAACAAACTCCATCTTTATTTACACTGCGCTCCGTCGTAATTTGCGTCTGGCATTGCGGCGTTGTCAGATTTTATTTTACTTTAAAGTGCCGTTTTGACCAACATGTTGTATGAAACTTTTTGCTTCTTGTAACCCCCTCTATCACCCATTTAAATAATGACTATCATAATGTTTACACCCGGTATATCATCGGATAATTGTTTTCCACCGTATGATCTCAACGAATTTTCAGACAAGGGAAAACCTTCGTCGCCTAAAATTACATACGAGAAATGTTCTGTTGAATTTGTTTGCAAACGTGGTGGTAGGATTCCGAGCGAATTGTCACATATTTTTTCAAAAAGTATGGAGTTATTGAAAATTCAAGCAACACTTGATTTGCCGTAGGATCCTACTTCTACGGGGTGTAACCGTTATGATAGTTATTATTTAAATGGGTGATAGAGAGGGTTCAAAGAAGCAAAAAGTTTCATTTTAAAGTAAAATAAAATCTGACAACGCCGCAATGCCAGACGCAAATTACGACGGAACGCAGTGTAAATAAAGATGGAGTTTGTTATTTTTGGCTCTTAGGTATTATTTCATTATTTGATAATGTACTAAAATGCAAACAATTAAAAAAAACGGACCACTAACTGTCTCAGCGCTTCACCTGGTGTGTGAAAGTTTATTGAACGTATTAAAAAAATCTACTTATAAATAGGGAACACAATTTTGATAAATACATTGTTTTTCTTTTTAAAATGCACACTGCACCTTTTTTGTATTTAAATAAGGTGTTCAAAATGTCGTCTCCCACTTTCCACACAAGCTTCATTATGACGAACCCAGTTTTTTTCTTACTCTAGGTCCTCGAAGTTGTCCATTTATTATTTCAGCCCCATTAAATATTTTTTCGCGAAGTTGTGCTTCAGTTGTTATTGGACCAGCCCCATAAACCATCCCTTTATGTTCTCTCTAATACCAGAAATCCTTCGGATTGAGGTCAGGAGATCTTGCTGGCCATTTTCGAGGATCATGAGCATTTCGACCGATCCAGCGATTTGGATAATGTTCATTCAAATATTGAATGACGCCTCTAAAGATGTGTGGTGGTGCCCCGTCATGAAGAAACCACAAATTCTGTCTCCGTTGTAATGGCATGTTGTCTAAGGTCTGTTCCAAAAGTTCTGGTAGGTAATTGGCTAGAAAGCTAAGGTATCCTTCTCCTGACAACTTTGGGGGTAACTCGAAAGGGCCAATTACCTGATCGTCAAGAATACCCGCCCAAATATTTATTTTAAAACGTTGTTGGAAATGACCTTCACGAATGATATGAGGATTTTCTTGGGCCCACGTGTGAGTATTATGGAAATTTAATATCCCGTCTCGCGTAAAAGTACATTCGTCCGTCGCTAGAATGTTTTTAATAAAATCCGGATTTTCAATGTTTTTGTGCAAAAACCACTGACAGAATGTTAGTCTGCGAGGATAGTATTCTGGTAACAAGACCTGCACTCCGTGTACATGGTAGGGATAAATCAAATTTTCCCGTAGGATTCTATGGCATGCTATAGTCCTACGCGGTGGCCTAATTCCCGAGTGCTGATATCTGCATTGATTTCCACGATATTTAACATTTGTTCCTCCTGCTCTACAGTAACCTGTCCTTCACGAGTACGAATATTAGTGGGCTGGACACTTCCTGTATCTCGAAGTCTTTGGTACACTTGCACAAATGTCCTTCTGTCTGGGTGTACCCGTTGGCGAAATCTGTCGCGATACATTTGAGATGCAAGATTTGAACTTTGACGAGCTTCACCGTAAACTAACAACATGTCGGCGTACTCTTGATTCAAGCAGATTGTACATAAACACGACGACGTACGCGAACAAAAACAAAACAACACGCCCGATGTCCGATAACTAACCACTGTTACCGTTTGCGATCGATTGCCGGTTCGATAAGAGTGATGAACGGCCGACACGCTGTTGTCATGTGTTTTAAATATTTAATTTAATGAAACTTATGACTACAAATTTTGGCTTATCTTAGAAAAACTTAATGCCATTTATTTGTTAATTACCCAATTTAAAAACGTTTTAGATTAGATTATAAGAATTAGTAAGATTGTGTTGATTGTGGTCGATATAAGGCACTCAAAGTTGTAAACTATAAAGTCATTTAGACAAAAATCTATTGACTTTTGGACCATGGGGCATATGAACTTTTTGACTTGTTTTGACCCCGCCTATTACCCATTTCAATAATGACTATCATAACGTTTACACCCTGTTTACGTAAACAGTAATTGGCATCGCACATAGCAAAAAAATAGTACTGTAGAAAAATATCCTTTGTAATTGAAATACATGGAACCGCTATTAGCTGGCTGTTTAGATCGAATGTGTTTTCCATCGATGATATTAGGAAAATTTGCAATTTTCCGAATCCTGATGCTATTTCTAGAAACCTCTGAGTAGATAGTGGAGGTATAGCAACTTTAGCAAGACAAAACCATATTGCCTCACAAACCTCTTTAACAATACAACTAGCAGCCGATCTTCCTACTCGAAATGTATAGTTGTAGTTCAATGAGGGAACATCCAGTAGCCAGATATCTGTAACATATACTAAGTGACATATAAATCCGAACACCCAGTTAAAATGGTTTTATTTTAATAAAAGTTGGTGAATGTATTTATCTTACTGTAAATAACAATTGAAAAAATGTTCAGCCTTATCAGTTGGACATTCCGGTTTTTATACTGCTTTTTTTTTTAATTCACTAACGCTCTAAAAATGAATATTTCAGCCGCAGTAAAGAATCAACGTTGGCGGATGTTGGTTCTTGACATCCTTTACGATCGGTTACGATACCTAGAGTACGGAGACCTGTACGATTTCGTCAACTTAGTGAGTTTGATAGGGGCCGTATAGTGGGACTTCGGGAAGCTGGACTTTCTTTTCGGGCAATTGCAGTTAGAGTGCAAAGAAGTGTAGACACTGTGGTTAGGTGTTGTCAGGCATGGCTTCGAGAAGGCCGTACGCAAAGAGCAAGGGGCACTGGACGCCGCCGTAGAACAACAGACCGTGAAGATCGCCGCCTAAGATTATTGGCCTTAGGGGACCGTTTCTCCACTACCAGGTCCATTGCAAATGAATGGTTTGCAGAACACGGAAGACCTATTGGCATGCGAAGTGTTTACCGACGAATGAGAAGTTTTGGCTTGTTTTCATACCGGCCACACTGGGTCCTCCCTTTAACTCGAGAACACCGACGTAATCGCCTTGAGTGGTGCAGACAACGGTCACTCTGGGATCAGGAATGGAACAGTATTGTCTTTAGTGACGAGTCTCGATTTTGTTTAGGCATGCACGATGGTCGTGCCAGGGTTAGAAGGCGACGTGGTGAAAGGAGGAATCCACAGTTTTTTGTTGAAAGACATGTTCATCACACTGTTGGAGTTATCGTTTGGGGTGCTATAGCTTATGGTTCCAGGTCACCTTTAATCTTCATCAGAGGTAACATAAACGCGCAGCGTTATATCCACGAAGTTCTAGAACCCCATCTTTTACCCTATCTTGACACCCTGGTAGATCCAACTTTCCAACGAGATAATGCCCGACCACATGTTGCAAGAGTCACAATAGACTTCTTTCAACATAATGATGTCACATTGTTACCATGGCCACCAAGATCTCCCGACTTATCCCCAATTGAGCACGTGTGGGATATGATGGGTAGGAGATTGCTCAATTTGCAACGTCCTCCTCAGACTCTAGAAGCACTTCGAGATGAGTTGGTGGTTGCCTGGAATGAGATACCACAGGAGGACATTGACCACCTGATCAGAAGCATGCCTAGGCGCGTTGGAGAATGCGTAGCACATCAGGGTGCATCCACACATTATTAAAGGTCAAAGGGCTTTAAAGCAGTGCAATCATTTTGAAATTTTTATCATTTACTTATTATGCTTCATTAAGTACTTATACAAAATTTTATTAAAATAAAACCATTTAAACTGGGTGTTCGGATTTATATGTCACTTAGTATATAAATAACTAGTGTTGTTTTTAATATACGCCATTGTGAATCATACAATACGTATAATAATTTCTATTTACAGGAGACGTACTGCATAAAGGTTGGATAGAAATAAGGGATGGGTTTGCCAGAAAAGGCAAGTCTGGAGACGGAGCTAGCAAAGAAGCCCCCGACATGTACCCACAGAAGTTCGGATTACTTGGAGACACTGTTGCACCAAAAAGAACAGCTGGTTCGCTAGAACAAACAATCATAGTCATATCAGATGATGAACAAGGAGAAGGAGAATATGAAGGCGACGATCAACAAGATGGAATTCAAGAATCTACATCTGTGCCTCCCATCCATTCTTCTGCATCAAACATTCCACATACTAAGGTTGGCAAGAAGAGACAACACCCTGTTGAGGACAGGAGTCTACGTTTATTGAACAGGTTCGAGAAGAGATCAAAAATTTACAAAGCAAAAGAGACGGTTGAGAACGATAATCGGCGTTTTTTGCTGTCTTTAGTGCAAAATCTTGCGGCATTGCCACGACTTCTGAATACACCTTGCAAAGTTGAAATTATGAATTGCATCCACAAGTACGAAAATATGAACCTACAGCTAACATCAAATCTATCAAGAGTAGAGTCACATCCAAGTCAACAGCAAAACAATCCTCCACGTTAACAGCAATCACAACAACTACCTCAGTTTCAACCAAGACACTACACACAAACGTACACCTCCAGTTAACTGTAATCACAGCATCCACATCACCCTAGAACATCTGTGACCCCAATGCCAGCTCCATCTCCACCCGAATCTGGTGCATCTTATGTATCTAGTTTTGTTGGTGAAAAAGTTTATAAATAAATATATATTATTATTTACCTGAGATTCATAACCAATTTTTCTTCTGGAGGAATACTAGCTCTCGTACGAGTATTTTTCTTCGTTATTTTTTCTTTTATATAACCAAGTAGTTCGTCGAAAGAAACCATTGACATACGAGTAAAATTAAAAATGTTTTCTTCATCTTCTCGTACTTCAGCTAACAAGGTATAAAAATGTCCTTTGAGTAGCGGTCGCTTATAATTGGATGCACCCACATTCGTCGCTTCTTCTTGTTCCTTCTTTTGAATCGTAAATATAGTAAGCCTAACAGTAGTACACATGCTAATTCGTCGTCCATTGGTTAAGGAGAACTACTTGCATTAAATTTGGTCGCTCCCAATCCCAACAGCGTTTTCTCAATGACCGTCCGGCTGTCGACTGAAAAGACGTTCCAGTCGAACTAGGAAATTGTGTGATAATAATGCTGTTTCAGCTTAGAACATCATGATTTTGGGACGACAAATTTTATCTAGCCTGGTGTCCCATACACCACGTTCTGAGACCCCTTGAGTCCAGGGGCGTCATCTTAGATCCACCAGTGATATTATCAAATGTTTAAATCAATTTGTTGAGAAATGACGTCAGGTTTGAGTCCCAAAGTACATGTTGGTACGTCCCTTAGTTTGACTGTAGTACAGGGTGAAACGTGGTGATAGTCATCATTTAAATGGGTGATAGAAGGGGTGAAAAGAAGCAAAAAGTTTCATACATTCATTCATTTTTTTAGAGAAAAGCGACTTTAAAGTAAAATAAAATCTGACAACGCCGCAATGCCAGACGTCTTTCTAATTTTTTTATTCTCAGTTGCCGTCATTAATTTGCAAATAGCGATAAATGTGGAGAATAAGACTTTCGCAAATACGGCCCAGTATATATCCTGTAGTAATGCACGTTATTCAACGTATTTTAGTGTTGTTCACCAAGTTTGTATTCAATGAAATATTAATCACGGTAAAAATGACAACAACTATCGATCATATTTGTTTTTTTCTTGAAGTTTGCTAGTGAATCATCAAGTTTAATTTACTTCAAAAAATTACGATGCGCATTACAACCAGGCTGATGTACGATTGCACTAACGTGACATTACGCATTAAATTTTGATATTAATTTCTGAGTTATCATGCAAATTTCAAAGTTTCCATTGCCGCATTTTATTTGTCAATAATTGCAGTAATTCATGTTATTCGCAAAACGGTTATAGTGCGCACTATTTGCCGTCTGTCCCCGATCATACCACTGGGCCCCCCCAGTGCATATTGCCGACCGGGCCCTTTTCCCTAAATCCGCCACTGGTCCGTCAAAAAGTATTTTTTATTAAATTTGCTGACAGCTTAAGCGCGCGCGAAGTTTTTCCTAGATCAAGCTGACCGCATAGGCAACCAGTCTTGCGCTATAATCTATGAGCTTACAGTTAAATCAAAGTTGACGGATGCAGTGCTGCCAGTGTACAGATTTATCTAAGAGATTTGGAACTTTAAAAATTGGAAGTCGAACTAAATTCGCATGGGGGGCTCATGACCCCCATGACCCCCCTCCCCTGGATCCACGCCTGGAGGTGTCCTGAAAATTAGGCCTTCCCTTTTCAGAAACAAGTACGGTAAAAATTATGACCTTGGTGTTGCTAGCTCGACCATAAAGGCGCAATTCCACTGAGGCAACAATGAACGACTTGTGGCAAGCTACTTTTTTCCTCTTGTTGACGTTCGACAGAGTTGTCCAAATTCTATTAATGCCGCATGTGGATTTTATTCCCCTATGTGGCATGCGCTTTGTCGTACATGAGTGTAGCATGCGTTTTCACGATTCAATTCAAGCAACTTCAGTTTAGTACGTCATGTCATTATAGACAGTCGCGGCGGCTGCTTATTTAGTAATATTTCGGATATCTGAACCAAACCAAACCAATGCCGAACAGTTGTATTTTCCTATTTAAAGAAATCAACCGTTAATAAATAAGCCAACTATGGAAAGAAAATACGAAGATGTTTCCTTCTTGTCCCCCTGAAACCGTAACCAACCGCAGCCAGTACTGTTTCGGGCTCATTAGCCCTCGTCAGTGCGGTATAGGTCTGCTTGTCTACTACTGGTAAGTCAAGGCGAGGGATGGACAAGAAGCAAACAATCGTATACGTCTAAAAGACTGAAGGTACTGTACGCTAGCAAGCGGCCGTAGCCACCAACTATTTTTGCCTCCTGTAATTTAGTCGTGCATCTTTATATATTTCCGATTTGTTATTCCATAATTCATCCGAATTGAAGATAATGTTTCTTCATTGGTCCACTCCATTTTGTCGCCTGCTACAAGTCGCACCGATCCGAACGTGTTTGGATAGCCAGCGACACTGAGAGGCAACAACGGGCAAATTGTGGCATGCGGCAAGGAGACATTTTTTTGTCGCTTCTTGTTGCCTCAATGCCGTATGCTACATGTTGCCCAAAAGTTGCCTCAGTGGAATTGCGCCTTAAGAGCGATGACACACACAGCGGTTTGTGCCGACTCGGCGGACAAATCGACTGCTGAGTCAGGACATATTTATCTTTGTTTTCAAATGCTGCGAAAAATACGCGCCTCGCCGCTGCAGTGCCGACACACACATCGTTTTTTCACAAGCTCAAGCGCATTACAATTACCAAAATGTTTTCGAGAGGAGCATTGCATTTCGTAGAAAAGAAACTCGATGTAGATAAAATGATGAGTGAAATAAAGAAACATCCAATATTATGGAACATTAATACAGAAGATTATAGAGATCAAATGAAAACAAATCCGTGCTGGGAAGAAATTATCAAGGCTTTTAGTTCTGAAGAGGAACTGAGTTTGCAGGATAGGAAAGAAATACGTGAGTAGCATTGTCTATTATAGCATACTTACATATTTACTATCTAATTTGAAATGTAGTGTAATTGAGTACATATTATTTATTTGAAAAGTTCTCTGTACTAAGTGCTCTTGCATTTCCTCTAGTGCGCTTTAGAGGTTGTAAACCTTCCATACTATGGCTTTGTGGGATATTCATGTTACTTAATGATTCTTCATGCGTTCCATCCCTTGTCCTTACAAAATTATGTAGTATGCAGGCAGCTTTGATAATGCTATTGGCAAAATCGATGTTAACATCTATAGGTCGATGAAATATTCGCCATTTGTTTGCTAATATCCCGAATGTACATTCAATACAGGGTGTAAACGTTATGGTAGTCATTATTGAAATGGGTTTTGGGGAGGCTCAAAACAAGTTAAAAAAGACCCATGGTCTAAAAGTCAATAGATTTTTGTCTATGAATGAATGAATCTTGAAATTAGAGGCAATTCGGCCACCATAAGGAGCCAGCGCATAGGCCGCTTAAGCGGGCCCTTATGCACCTCTACAATCCTTAGATCACAAGCCTCGACCTTTTAGCGGAGTTGAGAATCATCTTGAGTCCAAGCTCCTTGACGTCCTGAGGGTCCAAAGTAATGGACCCCAGTATAGTCTGCTTATCGACCACAATCACCACAATCTTACTAATTTTTAAAATCTAATCTAAAACGTTTTCAAATTGGGTAATTAACAGATAAATGGCATTTAGTTTTTCTAAGTTAAGCCAAAATTTGTAGTCAGTAAGTAAGTTTCATTAAATTAAATATTTACAACGCACATGACAACAGCGCCTCGGCCTTTCATCACTCTTATCGAACCGGCAATCGATCGCAAACGGTAACAGTGGTTAGTTATCGGGCATCGGGCGTGTTGTTTTGATTTTGTTCGCGTACGTCGTCGTGTTTATTTACATTGTTCTCGAATCAAGGGTTCGCCGACATGTTAGTTTACGGTGCAGCTCGTCAGAATTCAAATCTTGCAGCTCAAATTTATCGCGACAGATTTCGCCAACGGGTACACCCAGACAGAATGACATTTGTGCAATTGTACCAAAGACTTCGAGATACAGGAAGTGTCCAGCCCACTAATATTCGTACTCGTGAAGGACAGGTTACTGTAGAGCAGGAGGAACTAATTTTAAATATCGTGGAAATCAATGCGGATATCAGCACTCCTACCATGTACAACGAGTGCAGGCCTGAAGACTATCCTCGCAGACTAACATTCTGTCAGTGGTTTCTGCACAAAAACATTGAAAATCCGGATTTTTTTAAAAACATTCAAGTGACGGACGAATGTACTTTTACGCGAGACGGGATATTAAATTTCCATAATACTCACCCGTAGGCCCAAGAAAATCCTCATACCATTCGTGAAGGTCATTTCCAACAACGTTTTAAAATAAATATTTGGGCGGGTATTCTTGACGATCAGGTAGTTGACCCTTTCGAGTTACCCCCAAAGTTGTCAGGAGAAGGATACCTTAGCTTTCTAGCCAATAACCTACCAGACCTTTTGGAACAGACCTTAGACCACATGTCATTACAACGGAGACAGAATTTGTGGTTTCTTCATGACAGGGCGCCACCACACATTTTTAGAGGCGTCATTCAGTATTTGAATGAACATTATCCAAATCGCTGGATCGGTCGAAGTGCTCCTGATCCTCGAAAATAGCCAGCAAGATCTCCTGACCTAAGTCCGATGGATTTCTGGTATTGGGGAGAACTTAAAGGGATGATTTATGGGGCTGGTCCAATAACAATTGAAGCACAACAAAAGAATTTTAATGCGGCTGAAATAATAAATGAACAACTTCGAGAACCTAGAGTAAGATGAAACTGGGTTCGTCGTAACGAAGTTTGTGTGGAAAGTGGAGGACGACATCTTGAACACCTTCTTCAAATAGAAAAAAAGTGCAGTGTGGGTTTTAAAATGTATCAAAATTGTGTTCCTTATTTATAAGTGGATTTTTTCATACGTTCAATAGACTTTCACACAGCGCTAAGAAAGTTAGTGGTAAGTCCGTTTTTTTTAAATTGTTTGCATTTTACGAGTACATTATCAAATAATGAAATAATACCTAAGAGCCAAAAGTAACAAACTCCATCTTTATTTACACTGCGCTCCGTCGTAATTTGCGTCTGGCATTGCGGCGTTGTCAGATTTTATTTTACTTTAAAGTGCCGTTTTGACCAACATGTTGTATGAAACTTTTTGCTTCTTGTAACCCCCTCTATCACCCATTTAAATAATGACTATCATAACGTTTACACCCGGTATATCATCGGATAATTGTTTTCCACCGTATGATCTCAACGAATTTTCAGACAAGGGAAAACCTTCGTCGCCTAAAATTACATACGAGAAATGTTCTGTTGAATTTGTTTGCAAACGTGGTGGTAGGATTCCGAGCGAATTGTCACATATTTTTTCAAAAAGTATGGAGTTATTGAAAATTCAAGCAACACTTGATTTGCCGTAGGATCCTACTTCTACGGGGTGTAACCGTTATGATAGTTATTATTTAAATGGGTGATAGAGAGGGTTCAAAGAAGCAAAAAGTTTCATTTTAAAGTAAAATAAAATCTGACAACGCCGCAATGCCAGACGCAAATTACGACGGAACGCAGTGTAAATAAAGATGGAGTTTGTTATTTTTGGCTCTTAGGTATTATTTCATTATTTGATAATGTACTAAAATGCAAACAATTAAAAAAAACGGACCACTAACTGTCTCAGCGCTTCACCTGGTGTGTGAAAGTTTATTGAACGTATTAAAAAAATCTACTTATAAATAGGGAACACAATTTTGATAAATACATTGTTTTTCTTTTTAAAATGCACACTGCACCTTTTTTGTATTTAAATAAGGTGTTCAAAATGTCGTCTCCCACTTTCCACACAAGCTTCATTATGACGAACCCAGTTTTTTTCTTACTCTAGGTCCTCGAAGTTGTCCATTTATTATTTCAGCCCCATTAAATATTTTTTCGCGAAGTTGTGCTTCAGTTGTTATTGGACCAGCCCATAAACCATCCCTTTATGTTCTCTCTAATACCAGAAATCCTTCGGATTGAGGTCAGGAGATCTTGCTGGCCATTTTCGAGGATCATGAGCATTTCGACCGATCCAGCGATTTGGATAATGTTCATTCAAATATTGAATGACGCCTCTAAAGATGTGTGGTGGTGCCCCGTCATGAAGAAACCACAAATTCTGTCTCCGTTGTAATGGCATGTTGTCTAAGGTCTGTTCCAAAAGTTCTGGTAGGTAATTGGCTAGAAAGCTAAGGTATCCTTCTCCTGACAACTTTGGGGGTAACTCGAAAGGGCCAATTACCTGATCGTCAAGAATACCCGCCCAAATATTTATTTTAAAACGTTGTTGGAAATGACCTTCACGAATGATATGAGGATTTTCTTGGGCCCACGTGTGAGTATTATGGAAATTTAATATCCCGTCTCGCGTAAAAGTACATTCGTCCGTCGCTAGAATGTTTTAATAAAATCCGGATTTTCAATGTTTTTGTGCAAAAACCACTGACAGAATGTTAGTCTGCGAGGATAGTATTCTGGTAACAAGACCTGCACTCCGTGTACATGGTAGGGATAAATCAAATTTTCCCGTAGGATTCTATGGCATGCTATAGTCCTACGCGGTGGCCTAATTCCCGAGTGCTGATATCTGCATTGATTTCCACGATATTTAACATTTGTTCCTCCTGCTCTACAGTAACCTGTCCTTCACGAGTACGAATATTAGTGGGCTGGACACTTCCTGTATCTCGAAGTCTTTGGTACACTTGCACAAATGTCCTTCTGTCTGGGTGTACCCGTTGGCGAAATCTGTCGCGATACATTTGAGATGCAAGATTTGAACTTTGACGAGCTTCACCGTAAACTAACAACATGTCGGCGTACTCTTGATTCAAGCAGATTGTACATAAACACGACGACGTACGCGAACAAAAACAAAACAACACGCCCGATGTCCGATAACTAACCACTGTTACCGTTTGCGATCGATTGCCGGTTCGATAAGAGTGATGAACGGCCGACACGCTGTTGTCATGTGTTTTAAATATTTAATTTAATGAAACTTATGACTACAAATTTTGGCTTATCTTAGAAAAACTTAATGCCATTTATTTGTTAATTACCCAATTTAAAAACGTTTTAGATTAGATTATAAGAATTAGTAAGATTGTGTTGATTGTGGTCGATATAAGGCACTCAAAGTTGTAAACTATAAAGTCATTTAGACAAAAATCTATTGACTTTTGGACCATGGGGCATATGAACTTTTTGACTTGTTTTGACCCCGCCTATTACCCATTTCAATAATGACTATCATAACGTTTACACCCTGTTTACGTAAACAGTAATTGGCATCGCACATAGCAAAAAAATAGTACTGTAGAAAAATATCCTTTGTAATTGAAATACATGGAACCGCTATTAGCTGGCTGTTTAGATCGAATGTGTTTTCCATCGATGATATTAGGAAAATTTGCAATTTTCCGAATCCTGATGCTATTTCTAGAAACCTCTGAGTAGATAGTGGAGGTATAGCAACTTTAGCAAGACAAAACCATATTGCCTCACAAACCTCTTTAACAATACAACTAGCAGCCGATCTTCCTACTCGAAATGTATAGTTGTAGTTCAATGAGGGAACATCCAGTAGCCAGATATCTGTAACATATACTAAGTGACATATAAATCCGAACACCCAGTTAAAATGGTTTTATTTTAATAAAAGTTGGTGAATGTATTTATCTTACTGTAAATAACAATTGAAAAAATGTTCAGCCTTATCAGTTGGACATTCCGGTTTTTATACTGCTTTTTTTTAATTCACTAACGCTCTAAAAATGAATATTTCAGCCGCAGTAAAGAATCAACGTTGGCGGATGTTGGTTCTTGACATCCTTTACGATCGGTTACGATACCTAGAGTACGGAGACCTGTACGATTTCGTCAACTTAGTGAGTTTGATAGGGGCCGTATAGTGGGACTTCGGGAAGCTGGACTTTCTTTTCGGGCAATTGCAGTTAGAGTGCAAAGAAGTGTAGACACTGTGGTTAGGTGTTGTCAGGCATGGCTTCGAGAAGGCCGTACGCAAAGAGCAAGGGGCACTGGACGCCGCCGTAGAACAACAGACCGTGAAGATCGCCGCCTAAGATTATTGGCCTTAGGGGACCGTTTCTCCACTACCAGGTCCATTGCAAATGAATGGTTTGCAGAACACGGAAGACCTAACTCGAGAACACCGACGTAATCGCCTTGAGTGGTGCAGACAACGGTCACTCTGGGATCAGGAATGGAACAGTATTGTCTTTAGTGACGAGTCTCGATTTTGTTTAGGCATGCACGATGGTCGTGCCAGGGTTAGAAGGCGACGTGGTGAAAGGAGGAATCCACAGTTTTTTGTTGAAGGACATGTTCATCACACTGTTGGAGTTATCGTTTGGGGTGCTATAGCTTATGGTTCCAGGTCACCTTTAATCTTCATCAGAGGTAACATAAACGCGCAGCGTTATATCCACGAAGTTCTAGAACCCCATCTTTTACCCTATCTTGACACCCTGGTAGATCCAACTTTCCAACGAGATAATGCCCGACCACATGTTGCAAGAGTCACAATAGACTTCTTTCAACATAATGATGTCACATTGTTACCATGGCCACCAAGATCTCCCGACTTATCCCCAATTGAGCACGTGTGGGATATGATGGGTAGGAGATTGCTCAATTTGCAACGTCCTCCTCAGACTCTAGAAGCACTTCGAGATGAGTTGGTGGTTGCCTGGAATGAGATACCACAGGAGGACATTGACCACCTGATCAGAAGCATGCCTAGGCGCGTTGGAGAATGCGTAGCACATCAGGGTGCATCCACACATTATTAAAGGTCAAAGGGCTTTAAAGCAGTGCAATCATTTTGAAATTTTTATCATTTACTTATTATGCTTCATTAAGTACTTATACAAAATTTTATTAAAATAAAACCATTTAAACTGGGTGTTCGGATTTATATGTCACTTAGTATATAAATAACTAGTGTTGTTTTTAATATACGCCATTGTGAATCATACAATACGTATAATAATTTCTATTTACAGGAGACGTACTGCATAAAGGTTGGATAGAAATAAGGGATGGGTTTGCCAGAAAAGGCAAGTCTGGAGACGGAGCTAGCAAAGAAGCCCCCGACATGTACCCACAGAAGTTCGGATTACTTGGAGACACTGTTGCACCAAAAAGAACAGCTGGTTCGCTAGAACAAACAATCATAGTCATATCAGATGATGAACAAGGAGAAGGAGAATATGAAGGCGACGATCAACAAGATGGAATTCAAGAATCTACATCTGTGCCTCCCATCCATTCTTCTGCATCAAACATTCCACATACTAAGGTTGGCAAGAAGAGACAACACCCTGTTGAGGACAGGAGTCTACGTTTATTGAACAGGTTCGAGAAGAGATCAAAAATTTACAAAGCAAAAGAGACGGTTGAGAACGATAATCGGCGTTTTTTGCTGTCTTTAGTGCAAAATCTTGCGGCATTGCCACGACTTCTGAATACACCTTGCAAAGTTGAAATTATGAATTGCATCCACAAGTACGAAAATATGAACCTACAGCTAACATCAAATCTATCAAGAGTAGAGTCACATCCAAGTCAACAGCAAAACAATCCTCCACGTTAACAGCAATCACAACAACTACCTCAGTTTCAACCAAGACACTACACACAAACGTACACCTCCAGTTAACTGTAATCACAGCATCCACATCACCCTAGAACATCTGTGACCCCAATGCCAGCTCCATCTCCACCCGAATCTGGTGCATCTTATGTATCTAGTTTTGTTGGTGAAAAAGTTTATAAATAAATATATATTATTATTTACCTGAGATTCATAACCAATTTTTCTTCTGGAGGAATACTAGCTCTCGTACGAGTATTTTTCTTCGTTATTTTTTCTTTTATATAACCAAGTAGTTCGTCGAAAGAAACCATTGACATACGAGTAAAATTAAAAATGTTTTCTTCATCTTCTCGTACTTCAGCTAACAAGGTATAAAAATGTCCTTTGAGTAGCGGTCGCTTATAATTGGATGCACCCACATTCGTCGCTTCTTCTTGTTCCTTCTTTTGAATCGTAAATATAGTAAGCCTAACAGTAGTACACATGCTAATTCGTCGTCCATTGGTTAAGGAGAACTACTTGCATTAAATTTGGTCGCTCCCAATCCCAACAGCGTTTTCTCAATGACCGTCCGGCTGTCGACTGAAAAGACGTTCCAGTCGAACTAGGAAATTGTGTGATAATAATGCTGTTTCAGCTTAGAACATCATGATTTTGGGACGACAAATTTTATCTAGCCTGGTGTCCCATACACCACGTTCTGAGACCCCTTGAGTCCAGGGGCGTCATCTTAGATCCACCAGTGATATTATCAAATGTTTAAATCAATTTGTTGAGAAATGACGTCAGGTTTGAGTCCCAAAGTACATGTTGGTACGTCCCTTAGTTTGACTGTAGTACAGGGTGAAACGTGGTGATAGTCATCATTTAAATGGGTGATAGAAGGGGTGAAAAGAAGCAAAAAGTTTCATACATTCATTCATTTTTTTAGAGAAAAGCGACTTTAAAGTAAAATAAAATCTGACAACGCCGCAATGCCAGACGCAAATTACGACGGAACGCAGTGTAAATAAAGATGGTGTTTGTTACTTTTGGCTCTCAGGTACTAGTTCATTATTTGATAATGTACTCGTAAAATGCAAACAATTAAAAAAACGGACTTACCACTAACTGTCTCAGCGCTTCACCTGGTGTGTGAAAGTTTATTGAACGTATTAAAAAAATCTACCTATAAATAGGGAACACAGTTTTGATACATACATTGTTTTTCTTTTTAAAACCCGCACTGCCCTTTTTATGTATTTAAAGGAGGTGTTCAAAATGTCGTCTCCCACTTTCCACACAAGCTTCATTACGACGAACCCAGTTTCTTCTTACTCTAGGTCCTCGAAGTTGTCCATTCATTATTTCAGCCGCATTAAATTTCTTTTCGCGAAGTATTGGACCAGCCCCATAAATCGTCCCTTTAAGTTCTCCCCAATACCAGAAATCCATCGGATTGAGGTCAGGAGATCTTGCTGGCCATTTTCGAGGATCATGAGCATTTCGACCGATCCAGCGATTTGGATAACGTTCATTCAAATACTGAATGACACCTCTAAAAATGTGTGGTGGTGCCCCGTCATGAAGAAACCACAAATTCTGTCTCCGTTGTAATGGCATATTGTCTAAGGTCTGTTCCAAAAGTTCTGGTAGGTTATTGGCTAGAAAGCTAAGGTATCCTTCTCCTGACAACTTTGGGGGTAACTCGAAAGGGCCAATTACCTGATAGTCAAGAATACCCGCCAAAATATTTATTTTATAACGTTGTTGGAAATGACCTTCACGAATGGTATGAGGATTTTCTTGGGCCTACGTGTGAGTATTATGGAAATTTAATATCCCGTCTCGCGTAAAAGTACATTCATTGGTCGCTAGAATGTTTTTAAAAAAATCCGGATTTTCAATGTTTTTGTGCAAAAACCGCTGACAGAATGTTAGTCTGCGAGGATAGTCTTCTGGTAACAAGGCCTGCCCTCGTTGTACATGGTAGGGATATAGCAAATTTTCCCGTAGGATTCTATGCGATAGTCCTATGCGGCGGCCTAATTCCCGAGTGCTGATATCTGCACTGATTTCCACGATATTTAAAATTTGTTCCTTGTGCTCTACAGTAACCTGTCTTTCACGAGTGCGAATATTAGTGGGCTGAACACTTCCTGTATCTCGAAGTCTTTGGTACACTTGCACAAATGTCCTTCTGTCTGGGTGTACCCGTTGGCGAAATCTGTAGCGATAAATTTGAGCTGCAAGATTTGAATTCTGACGAGCTTCACCGTACACTAACATGTCGGCGAACTCTTGATTCGAGAACATTGTATTAAACACGACGATGTACGCGAACAATAACTAACCACTGTTACCGTTTGCGATCGATTGCCGGTTCGATAAGAGTGATGAAAGGCCGACGCGCTGTTGTCATGTATGTTTTAAATATTTAATTTAATGAAACTTACTTACTGACTACAATTTTGGCTTAACTTAGAAAAACTTAATGTCATTTATTGGTTAATTACCCAATTTAAAATCGTTTTAGATTAGATTATAAAAATTAGTAAGATTGTGGTTATTGTGGTCGATATAAAGCACTTAAAGTTGTAAACTATAAAGCCATTTAGACAAAAATCTAGTGACTTTTGGACCATGGGTCATATGGACTTTTTGACTTGTTTTGACCCCCCCTATTACCCATTTCGATAATGACTACCATAACGTTTACACCCTGTATATCTGAAATGTTGCATCCAAAGTGAAATATATTGTATAATTTAACATCCACACAGATAGAACATCGTACATGCTGTGGCTAGAAAACGCACATGGGGGATTTCCTGTACAAACAGCAGCGCACCCCTATACATCATGTATACCGTGGATATTTGTTCTTTCGTTTCTACCATTTTCCAGTTTTCCGGTGATACACGTCGATATGGAAGCGAAATTTACGTGTTATACATGCAGCTACGGCTATACGGTAACAAGGATAACAGCTTTGGATTACACATCACATCGTATTTAGGAAAATCATTGTGCTGTGACAAGACTTGTTTTGAAAGTTATTAGTTGTAAGACATGATGAACGTGGTATGTGAAATACAGTGATTTTCAAAATAGTCCTCCCTTATTTTTTGAACGGATAAGGTTAGCAAGCTGACATTCAAGATGACGTAAAAGTGAGTTGAAAGTTTCACGATGGCGGCGCAATCTTTTTAACAGACTACGATACCTCATTTTAAAGCCCCCTTTATAAGCTCAGTTGAGTGTTTTTGTACAATCGCTGACATCACTCTTCTTCCTTTGAAATGGTATATCTGAGTCTATGGATAAATATGACAATTATATCAGGAAACCAAAAAATATCCTTATGATGTGAATATTTTGCATGAATTTAAATCATATCGAAACAGACTGACAAAAATAATTAAATAGGCTAAAATTAAATATCTCCAAGAAGAGTTTGATAATCTACAAAATTGTTCGTCCAAAATGTGTAAATTTATCAATAAAATACAAGGCAAAAAACAAAACAACAAAATTAGTACAATTAAAAACGAAAATAGTGAACTAGTGAGTAATGATGTATATACAGCAAATGAATTTTGTGAATATTTTTCAAAAATCGGGAAAAGGTTGTCAGAAAACATAAAAAACGCGGAAAAATTAAATTATAGTAAGACCAGATTATATAACTCATTATATCTGGAACCGACCGATACGCATGAAATAAAGACAATAGTCAATGAATTAAAATTAAGAAAATCTCCACGGAATTTGCAAAAAAATATATACTAAGTGACATATAAGTCCGAACACCCAGTTTAAATGGTTTTATTTTAATAAAATTTTGTATAAGTACTTAATGAAGCATAATAAGTAAATGATAAAAATTTCAAAATGATTGCACTGCTTTAAAGCCCTTTGACCTTTAATAATGTGTGGATGCACCCCGATGTGCTACGCATTCTCCAACGCGCCTAGGCATGCTTCTGAGCAGGTGGTCAATGTCCTCCTGTGGTATCTCATTCCAGGCAACCACCAACTCCTCTCGAAGTGCTTCTAGAGTCTGAGGAGGACGTTGCAAATTGAGCAATCTCCTACCCATCATATCCCACACGTGCTCAATTGGGGATAAGTCGGGAGATCTTGGTGGCCATGGTAACAATGTGACATCATTATGTTGAAAGAAGTCTATTGTGACTCTTGCAACATGTGGTCGGGCATTATCTTGTTGGAAAGTTGGATCTGCCAGGGTGTCAAGATAGGGTAAAAGATGGGGTTCTAGAACTTCGTGGATATAACGCTGCGCGTTCATGTTACCTCTGATGAAGATTAAAGGTGACCTGGAACCATAAGCTATAGTACCCCAAACCATAACTCCAACAGTGTGATGAACATGTCTTTCAACAAAAAACTGTGGATTCCTCCTTTCACCACGTCGCCTTCTAACCCTGGCACGACCATCGTGCATGCCTAAACAAAATCGAGACTCGTCACTAAAGACAATACTGTTCCATTCCTGATCCCAGAGTGACCGTTGTCTGCACCACTCAAGGCGATTACGTCGGTGTTCTCGAGTTAAAGGGAGGACCCAGTGTGGCCGGTATGAAAACAAGCCAAAACTTCTCATGCGTCGGTAAACACTTCGCATGCCAATAGGTCTTCCGTGTTCTGCAAACCATTCATTTGCAATGGACCTGGTAGTGTAGAAACGGTCCCTTAAGGCCAATAATCTTAGGCGGCGATCTTCACGGTCTGTTGTTCTACGGCGGCGTCCAGTGCCCCTTGATCTTTGCGTACGGCCTTCTCGAAGCCATGCCTGACAACACCTAACCACAGTGTCTACACATCTTTGCACTCTAACTGCAATTGCCCAAAAAGAAAGTCCAGCTTCCCGAAGTCCCACTATACGGCCCCTATCAAAGTCACTAAGTTGACGAAATCGTACAGGTCCCCGTACTCTGGGCATCTTAACCGATCGTAAATGATGTCAAGAACCAAAATCCGCCAACGTTGATTCTTTACTGCGGCTGAAATATTCATTTTTAGAGCGTTAGTGAATTTAAAAAAAAGCAGTATAAAAACCGGAATGTCCAACTGATAAGGCTGAAAATTTTTTCACATGTTATTTACACTAAGATAAATACATTCACCAACTTTTATTAAAATAAAACCATTTAAACTGGGTGTTCGGATTTATATGTCACTTAGTATAACTCAATAGCGGAAC